CACCAGTGGAAATGGCCACATCAGGAGTGCCCCCCGACCTGGGCGCAGCTTGGGAGGGCCAGGGGGGGGGGGGGGGGAGCAGTTTGAGGCTATTTTGAGCAGTTCTGGGTGATTTCTTACTGCATGTAAAGGTCACAGTGATATCCCCTCCCTGGGACTGGGGGTTTCAGCATCCCTCTGGGCTTACTTGGGGCACCCCTGAAACACCTCCCACAGCACCTGGGGTGCTCAGCATCTCTTCTGGGCTTACTTGGAGCCCCCTGAAACACCTCCCACAGCACCTGGGGTGCTCAGCATCTCTTCTGGGCTTACTTGGAGCCCCCTGAAACACCTCCCACAGCACCTGGGGTGCTCAGCATCTCTTCTGGGCTTACTTGGAGCCCCCTGAAACACCTCCCACAGCACCTGGGGTGCTCAGCATCTCTTCTGGGCTTACTTGGAGCCCCCTGAAACACCTCCCACAGCACCTGGGGTGCTCAGCATCTCTTCTGGGCTTACTTGGAGCCCCCTGAAACACCTCCCACAGCACCTGGGGTGCTCAGCATCTCTTCTGAGCATACTTGGAGCCCCCTTGAATTGCCCCCACAGCACTTGGGGGGCTCAGCATCGCCCTGGGCTTACTTGGGGCACCCCTGAAACACCTCCCACACCCACGTCACTTGGGGTGCTCAGCATCTCTTCTGGCCTTACTTGGAGCCCCCTTGAATTGCCCCCACAGCACCTGGGGTGCTCAGCATCCCCCTGGGCTTACTTGGAGCCCCCTGAAACACCTCCCACAGCACCTGGAGGGCTCAGCATCTCTTCTGGGCTTACTTGGAGCCCCCTGAAACACCTCCCACAGCACCTGGAGGGCTCAGCATCTCTTCTGGGCTTACTTGGAGCCCCCTGAAACACCTCCCACAGCACCTGGAGGGCTCAGCATCTCTTCTGGGCTTACTTGGAGCCCCCTGAAACACCTCCCACAGCACCTGGAGGGCTCAGCATCTCTTCTGGGCTTACTTGGAGCCCCCTGAAACACCTCCCACAGCACCTGGAGGGCTCAGCATCTCTTCTGGGCTTACTTGGAGCCCCCTGAAATGCCCCCATAGCATGTGGGAGGCTTAGCCCACCCTTTGGACTTTCTTGGGGCCCTTTGACATAGCACCTGGGGGGGGTCTCCACATCCTGCCCCCTGGGCTTTCTTGGAGCCCCCCAAAACCACCCCCACAGCACCCACAGCTCAGCCTGGCTGAGAATTCCTCCATTTAATCCCTTCTTTTTTTTTTTTTTTTTAACACAAAACTTTACACCCCCAACCCCCCGT